CATAGGTCCCTATCATGAAAGGCAAGATCTTCTAATCATTTTTTATGACGGTACCAACTGAGAAAGCAAAGTGGTGTAAGCTAAGTAATGGTCGGCCTGGTCTGACTATAATTAAAAAAAAAAATTTCACTTAATCATCATTCAGTCTCGTCTACAAGAAGTGAAGCAAAATTTCAATAAGACCGATTTTTTCGTTTCTGACAAATCATGTCCATTGATTGCAAAATCAGAGTAGTCAGCGGAAAATACGATATACTTGCTACGCTCCCAGCCGTTCGAATTTGAAAAGGCTCTCCTCTCTAGGATTTTGCTCCGGTTAACATGAAACTTTAGAAAAATATTTTTGGCACATTAAACTATTTGATAACAAAGCCAGCCTAAGGATGTACGGTATTTGCATTTAATTGGGTAATAAAATAACGAAAATTATACTTTGTTTCCAAATAAGGACATGGACACGTTTTCAAGGTCCAAATTTAGAAAAATAAATCTTTTTGTCAAAGAACCTTCTTATTACTTATAAACGTTTCCTTTTCATGAATATCCTTAAACGAGGTGAGACTTGGTCTAACTTTGGCACAGTTAATATCTACATCAAATAGATCGTTTTCCTATACAAAGGCTTACTTTTCATAAGTGTTCCGAAAAGGAGATGAGTCCAAAATTTCATGCAGTCGATTTTTACGTCAAAGTGTTATTATGGATTATAAAAAGGCCTACTTGTCGTTGGACCGATCATAGCAGAGAGGATTCGAAATACCGGCTCATTCGATCTAGTCGTTATATGGCGGGAGGTTATAAAAATGATTCGATCCTAATCATTTTCATTAGGGTTCGTCACTGGGTCAAAATACACTGGTTTAACAAATTTCGCTAAAATGTGTTAAAAATTCTCCGCATTCTCTGGCAAAGACAAGGATCGTGACTAATAACTTTATGGTGGCGGGTTCAAATCGAGCGTATAATATAAGTTATCCGGAAATCTTTAAATTCATACTTTATAGATTCATTTATAAAATATATATGCACAATAAACAAAATAAAAGGTATAAATAAATAAATGTTTAAAAAATTGCGATTTGTAGGTTAAGCCAAAAAGAAAAAAAAAAAAAAAAAATAGATAGAAAACCGGGCCGAGGCATGCTTACACAACGATCTAAAAAATGATATTGAATTGATCGGTAAATTTAAGGAATGGCTTTGTCTTAAGTATTTCTGGGTGTCACTTATATAACCGGATAAATCTAAGTAGCATGTAGTCTGGGCGATAAAAATATTCACTTTGTGAAACTTTAAAACCCATGTATCCACACTGTGAACCTTGAATTGACGATTTTAAACAATTTATTTAATTCGCTCTCTTCACCGAACATTACCTGACGAAGTACCTCAATAATATGTATATTATTATATATGGATAGATTTTCCTGACTAGATCATCAAGCGGATGGCGTTAACATTCACTTAGGATACGTATGTTATATGCGGTTTATTGCGCGTATTTTTTGCTTTGCGATGTCACGAACAAGAGTGATAACAATGTGGGTATGTGTGTATGTGTGTGCGTGTTCTCATATCTGTAACAGAATAACGCAAAGTAGGAGAAGAAGTTTACAAAGACTAGGACCTCTAGTGCATTTTTGATTGTATAGTTGTTTTTTTTGTTTTTTTTTTTATTTGATTTAACTCTCAAACGAAATAATAAATTTAATTATTTTTATTAGCATTAGTATGGAAATAATGCACATAACGCACATTAAATACAAAGGAATTATAATTTTACTTAATAATAATAATAATTTTCTATGATATTTAGAAAAAATTTCCATAAAATTAATTAATAATTAATTATGTACATAAGTTTAATTGTGAATTTATAGGTATTCAGCGACCATTGGAGAGATAATGAAAGTATTTTTATTTTTTTTTTTTTGAATTGTTTCAGGGCGTAGCGCAAGAAAATGGGAAAAAGTCAATATACTCTTTAAATTGACTACGATTTGTTTACATCGGGTGAGTGAAATTTGTTTGTTTGTTTTCGTTATGTCTTCGTCTACACATATATGGATTGGATTGGAAGTAATATTGAAATGCTATACAAAAATATTGTTTATTGTCCCTCAAACGGTTTAATGAGTATAACGTGACTGAAATGTAAACAAACATTAAGCCAGCGATAAAGATGTACCGCACCTTTTGAACCTTCAAAACTTAATGCATTTATGCATATATAAAAGTTACAAAAAGTGATAAAAAAAAAAAAAGAAACAAAACAAAAAAAAAAAACAAAAAAAAAAAAATTCAAATGTTTTTGTTTTTCTTTTCTTTAGTTGGCGCAATCAATAAGAGGACCATTTTTTATTAGAATGTGTAGGGTGTAAGGCTTGACATGTCTATGAAAATGATCATTATATCAAAGAGACGCTTGCATATTATAACCTTTGTCATATCGTCAGAGACTTAAGATAGATTATTTATTTGTATTTTGCAGACTACATTCATATATGCATTTTGTAAAAATTGTTCTTGCAAAAAAAGTAGTTGTTGTTATTGCATAGACGGTAATCGGCTAATGCTTATATAGACGCGACACGGTTGTCTTGTGAGCTTAAGAGTTACAATCCATACACAAGTTTATACATAATTAAATTTGTTTATCTTTTTTTTTTTTCTTTTTTTTTCAATTTTATTTATGTTATATTGGATTTGTCATTTCATTATTGTCTTTGTAGTACCTTGAACTTGTTCTTTAATATTATATTACTTTAGTGGAATTTTAAAATATTTTTTATAATTTATTATTTTACTTACGAGTTTATATATATATATATATATATATATACATAAATTTTGTTTCTGTTGTTTTTTTTTTTTTGAGCGTATATAGCCTTTCATGTCAATTATTTTCCTTTCCGGTTCGATTTGGTTTATTTTTAAAATAACAATTGAGACACAACGCGAACAACGATTTCGAATAAATGCTGAAATATTTGTTGTCACTAAGCCAATATTATAATTAATCAAATTCTGAAGTCTCATCTCAATAAAGCACGTTAAGCGATTTGTAACAAATATTTTTTGTCTTTTATTTTTTGTTTTTTCTCAAATATTTTCAAATATTTGTTTTACAAAAAACAAAAAAAAATTTTTTTTCCAATTTTTTTAGAAAATTTGGTAAGTTATTTATGACAAGAATCGTAATCAGCTCTTTACTTAAAAGAAAGCATACAATTTAGAAGAAGAAGAAGAAGAAGAAGAAGAAAATGGTTATTTCTCCCGCTTGAGTTGGATTTTTTAATCAATCATCTAATCATTGCTTTATAAAGGAGATTTTATTACACGATAGAAGGGAAATCCGTTGACTGCATATATAATATCGGATGTAATTCAGATCATAATTTCGCCTTTGGCTTTACGGGTCATTTGGGTACAAATTTTAACAAGAAAACTTCTTAGGAACCAATCGGACGGAGTAGTCGTTCGATAATAATATATAGTGCCATCTAAAGAATACTTTCACTTAAGCAGCCTCGTCGAACATATGTAACACGCAGAAGGGCTTAAGATAGATCCACCTTTTATTATACCGATCGATTCAAAATCATAATCTGAATTGATCTAAGCCTATCTGTCTGTCTCATGTCTGTCCATGTGAAGTTGTGTTCAAGCTATAGTTCGCAATTTTTGAGATATTTCGATAAATATGTTTGGCATC